TCCTCGAGATGAGAGGCGCAGAATTATCCCAGCGATGGAGTAAACAAGGTGTGGTCATCTTGAAATGCTTTGCCTTTATTTAATGATTACCTCTGTTCTAGAACTTGACTCCATGTTGGTAATGTTGAGATTTTTCTTTTTGTTCAGCTTGAGATTAAAAAGAATAATGGTATATTTTTTGAGATGTCTGCTGTGAAGAATGTACAGAGTGGACCTGGCTCTGTGTTGCAGTGGGTCATCAGCTTGCTGATGTTTCTGAGCAGATTTTGACATTGTCTTAATCGAGAATCCTAGGAGAGCAGGTTACGCTCAAGTGCATAGGAAGAGTCCTCCTTCAGCTGTAACATGAACTAGAATTAATGTGCGGTTGTTAAGTGTGTTCAAAACCACAGATCTTGGTTTCGATTAAATAACCGCCCGTGTGTACAATGCACGTGCTATTAACTGAGGTACACACAGCTGGTGTTTCTTGCAAAACCAAAGCCTTGATTCTGCTGCCTGGGTGACACAATTAGTGCTTTGGAGCTGCTGCATTTGCTACTGTGCAGGACTGTATTTTATCTTTTGCCTCACTGTGCAAATTGTATACTATAAGATTGTTCAGAAATATCAGTTTTGGAAATCCACCCCCCCGCCAGGCCAAGTCTTGTCATTTCAGCTCTGAGTCCAACCTGGTTCTTCCAGCTTTGCTACATTTTGTGTCAAATTCAAAATATCTCATGGTGCCAATTACACTCAACTGGCTGCAATGAACCTGCTCCTCTTTTAATATCTTTGGCCAAAGGATAGCTGGGGAAGGAACTTGAAGTTAAGTTTACAGAGTAGGAAGGAGTGTGCAAGGAGATGGTGGGGAAACAAGGCCAAGCACAAAGCAGAGTTTCTCCCCTAATTGACTCTAGGGTTTTGTGTTTCTCTTTAACCTCCACGGGGAGACCACATGTTGAGACAGGCGCTGCAGAGCCTCTTGAGCTCCTGCATGAAGCATCGTCAAAGTGTGGGATAGGCTGGGTGTTCCTGTCCGTCAATTTGCCGTGTTTCATAGTTCCAGTTCTTCATTCAGAATGGATTTGTGAAAGTTTCACTGAGAAATATGGTTATTGAGACTCCTTTCCTACAGGCCTTTTGTGTGTAAAACAGCCACTTTACTCAGTTTCTCACATTGAGAAATGTCAAACTTTTACTGCTGCATTTTCATGAAAGAGAGAGCTGTTCAGTTTATGTACTGTGATTGTGTCCTCAGGACATTCTAAAGCCCCATGTTTCTACTTAATTATTGTTTTAACTGTGGCCACTTTATGTAGGAAAATCATTGCATTGTTTGTTTGGGTAATGTGTTTGAGGGGTATCTTTCCCAGGGGATTGAAAGATCTCTCTGCTTAACTTTGGGTCATCGAGCGAGATTCATTTGATTAGGCAGAAGTGGCCTCTGACTAATATCCCAGCTTTAGGGACTGACCCTCCAATAATACAGCTCTCCCTCCGACACCAGTGCAGTATAACCTCCTTACTTGAAATACGCGCACTGAAGCTGTTGTGGTTTCCCACCAAGGAGGCTGAGACCAGCAGAGATCCAGAAAGTGAAACATTTCTTTCTGGTGCTTAATAAAAGCCCAGGCTTTCATTACTGTGGACTTCTGTCCTCTACCCTGACCAAGGTACCTAGAGCTCTGTGCTCCCCCACCAAGCTTAACTGAGTACCGAAGACCATTCCTGGGTTCCCATTGCTGTCTTCCCACTTGGGGTTGAATGGGAAGCAAGAGGTGTTGAGGGGCTAATATCTGCTGGACCTCCTGCTGAGAAGACCTTTTGGTTAGCCGTCGGTTCAGATCCTGGCAGGGAATTAACACGGGAGCTTTCACGGTTGGGTTGAAAATATTACTGCAACTTTAATGTGAAATAATTTTGCAGCATTTCTCAACCTGGTGAACTCTATAGTGACTGCAGTCCTATGGTGGATTGTGCTCAATGTAATTTATTCTTTGAGTGATGAGTTGCCTTTTGATGATTCCCAGTTGAATATTTTAAATAGTTTCAAGGCTTTGTGTGTGTGCTTTTTAATTGTCTGTGTAGGGGTTACACTAACCATCTTCAGTTCTACTTCATGCAAGCCACAAAATAGTTGTTTAGAACAGTGAATTCCATTTCCTGCTATGTTTCTAAAGCCTTTTTTCCTGCTGGTGTTGACCTGTTGTTACGAGGTGTGTCAATGTGAATTCAGCAGTACTAATTTTAAAGAGGAGCATGCAACTGATATGTATGCATTACAAAATCCAACCAAATAATAAAATGGAATTTTATCACTTAGATATTATTGGAGGTAACTCTCCAGTAGAGTTCTGACACACATTGTCCAATTCTGCCATTCGGTCCCTTGACTCTGTTCTGTTCTACTGTTCAGGGAGATTGTGGCTGATCTATGCCCTAAGTTAATGTAGCTACCTGGAAATATATCCCTCAATACCCTTGACCGGCAAAAATCTATCCATTCCCGAATTTTTTGAGTTAGCATCTGTTGCTGTTTGTTCCTCATGTTCTTTTGGATGAGTAATGAACGGCCTGACTATGATTCTATTTCCTTGCCATAGGCAAAAGTATTATTTATTCGACTTCTTTCCAAATCCTAAAAGCCTCAGTAAGAGTTCTTAATTTTCTGTACTGGGAATACAGGCCTATTTTATGTACTCTTTCCTCAGTATAACCATTGGAGCTTAGATCACATTCTTGTGAATCTGCACAGCACGCCTTCCAAGGCCAGTGGATCCTTTACTGTCAACTACTAACAGGGGTAGCATGCTGGAAGTCAAGTCCCGTTATTCCTGGAGTCATCCATGCTAGTTAAATATTTTCAAATAAATATGTAAAATTCCCCAATTTACCTGATATTCAGACCTAGGTTGATAAGAAGCATGGATTTAGGTCTCTGTACTTAATAACAATGACTGTTTGTGATAGGTAAACAGACCTTAACTACAGATAAACAGTTATAAAGTTATACAGCATTAAATTCTAATCCTCTTATAAACCCACCATAGTGCACATTCAGATGTTGATGAAGGGAAAACTAGGAAAAAAGTTGACTAGTCTTTGCTTACAAGACTGTTTGGTTGGTTGTTGCTAATTAAAAGGCTTTTTCTTGGTTTTCCTTTTCCGAATGCTTCCACTGGTTTGCAAGAGGCACAGCGTGGCTGGTTCACTTATGAAAAGGTCACTGATTTATCAATTAACAGTAACAACTTTGAGTTGCGAAAGGAAAGAAACTGGTTTTCTTATGGTTTAACATGGATTTTAACGAAAGCAGAAACCACACGACACCAGGTTATAGTCCAACAGGTTTATTTGAACTTCAACTGATGAAGGAGCATCGCTCTGAATGTTTGTGATTTCAGATAAATCTGTTGGGCTATAACCTGGTGTCGTGTGACATCTGACTTTGTCCACACCAGTCCAAAACTGGCACCTTCACATCATGGATCTTAACTGCAGAAAACAGAGAGATAGCTCCTAAGCTGGTGGAGATCTGATTGCTTCTCTGTATTTTGTTCCCTGCCCCATGCTGTTCAGTTACCTGAGAACCAACCTGTCAGTAGTTGGCAGACAAGAAACCTTTGTCATTGATAACAGGCCACTAGTCCATAGACCAATCTTGATTCTTGTTGGCAACCAAAGTTCCATCATTAAACAAATTTTTGGCTCTCGTCCATCTGTAAACATTATTGTAACCCACAGTTCTGCAAGTAAACTTTGGTCTTTAAATCTGTTCTTCCTCATTTCAGTCCACCATTTAAAAAAGCATAACAATAAAAAGACATGGTCTTCACATTTCTAAGGTCTAATGTCTAGTCTGTACACAGTGATCCAGATGTGGTCTAACTTGAACTGTAGCATTTCTGTCGCAAAATGTGACTTAGCCATGGACAGCCCATTCAAAAATCTATGGTATTTTTAATACTGGAGATCTCCCTGTAGTAATGAAACTTCTGTTTTAAAATAATTACAAAATCAGCTGTGGACTATCTTCTATTGGCCACCACCATTTGGAGTGTACATAAAGTTTCTAACACACAAGGTATAAAATTCTCAATAAGCATTGTCTCTAGCAACCTGTATGTAAGAGTTGTATTAGCCCCAGTCAGGATCAATATTTCTGATAGTGTACCAGTTCGTGAAATAACTTGCTGGTTAAAAATCCCAGTTTGTGACTAGTCTATTGATCTTTCTCATTGCGTGCTTATTGAACAGTGGCCTTCAATCGAGTGTAGTGAGCAATTGATGGCAGATTGACAGTTAAGTATGAAAAGACAATTTGGATGTTGTGGCTCTATTATATCTGTAACAATTACCAAAACTTGGTCACCAGCCTAATGATTTTTTTTAAGAGGCTGTGCGAGATCTTCAATACATTATCTAACATATCATTAGCTTAAACTAAAGCAACTCAAACCGGATGTGCTGAAGTGATGCATACCATTAGAACATAAGATGGTATAGAACTGCTAATTGGTAAAGTGAAAACACCACCAATAGGACACGATAATCTCATTTCTGCCTAAACCAGTGCTTGAAAGTGTTAGGTTTGAATTGTTGATCAGTACAGGATTTTAGTAATGCTAACTGACTTTTTACTATCTGACGTCGTATGGCATTCTTTTGCTAAGTAGTACGGTGATTACTGTGCCTTATGATGATGAGAGCATTTTGCCATAAAATACCTTTGTTCTGCTGCTAAGGCAGGAATGTATTGAAGTTCTAATTGCTGTAAGCAAACAGTATGAGGTCTGTTAGAGATTAACTGTTGCATTGATGGAAATTCATATCCTGCTCGATGCTTGCAAATCTCCAGATGAGGAAAATAATAGCATTAAATTCAGTCATTTTTTACATTTTGATGCACTGAAATGTTTGTAATTACATTCCTAAATTTTTGACTCTTACAAACATACATACATGTGCTTCCTGTTTGAGGACAGTAGTTTATTGGTGTCCTTTCTCTATTTCCACAGGACTTGCAGCCAGGATACCGTTCATAATGTCACTGTCCATGCGGCCTGTGCGCCGCATTTTGTTTACTGGAATTACTAGGAGTCATTCTTTTGCTGGAGTCAATTCACCACAAGACAAAGCATTCAGGTTAGTGACATTTCCAAATCACGTTGGCCCTTGCTGATTTTAAAAACCTATCTCCCCTGCTGAGCCAGGATTGTAATGTTTTCTTTCAAAGCATAACGTAGAGAATTCATAAATATTTGAGGCTTGCATTGGTGTGAAGGCTTATTATGTTATTACATTGCTCCATTATGGCTCAGGCATGTATTGGTCAGGAATCTCCCAAAATAGTTAGCTGACCTCAGCTGGGATGTCAAGATGAGTTCTACAGTGGCAAAGTGTCAACTAGGGTTGATGCTGCTGCCAATCACTAACCACCAAACCCTCGGACACGAAGGGCCCTCTGTTTTTCCTGAAAACTGTGCTACATCATTCCCACACAGACCAGACCTGTGAGGAGCAGCTGCTTTTATGGCCTGAAACCTTGAAATTCAGAACTTCCCTTTCTAATAACTGGGTATTCTTAGACCACATGAACTGCAGTGGTTTAAGAAGAGATGGCTGTTCACCATCTTCACAAGGCCATTAAAGATGGCCAATCAATGTTGGCCACACCACCAATGAGCACATCCCATTAAATTAGATAAGTCCATAATATTTATACAGCATCCCTCACAATCTCAGGATCCCAAAGTGTCTTGCAGCCAATAATAGTTTGCTACACTAGCCATGCACCCAAAAATATGTAGGAATCATGGCAGATAGTTTATGTGCAGTAAGGTCCCATTAGCAAAACAGATAGTGGCCAGATATTCTGTTTGCTCACAAACTATGAGTTCCTTAACTCTTCTTTGAAGTAATGCCATTGGTTATTTTATATTTACTTGAGGGGCAGATGTGGATTGGTTTAATTTGTCTGATAAACACCAGCCCTGACAGCTGGTGGATTGGCCATGCTAAATTACCCCTTGGTGTGCAGGGAGATGCAAGTTAGGTGGATTAACCATGAGAATGAGACTTAACTCCACAACTATCTAACTCCGAGTTGAGAGTGTTATCACTTAGCCAATGACTGATTGAATGAGGATGCTCATTTCTCTGTAATTATAAGTAAACTTGGGTCATCCTAGGAGCAGGGGTGAAGCTGCATCTTCATTTTGTGCAGTTGGAAATTCTGGTTTCTATGAGCATCTAATTAATCTGTTTTCTGTAAAAAACTATCCCAAGTTACAAGGATTGACAGAGTGGGAAACTTAATCATCCATAATCGATTAGCATCTTAAATGCAAATTAACCTGCATCAGGTAACAAATATGGACTCTTTGGATTCACCAATTCTGCTAGCAGATTTGTCTGAATGATGCAAAAACTATTATTTATTCAGTTGTGGTATTGGTGTAGTGGCAAAAAACTGTGGAGAAAATCATCTGGTTAGATCATTGAAATGTGGATTGTTTGTTGATGGCTTTTTATTCGTTTTATACAGTTGTTCGAAAGGAGAGAGGATGTGATTAAGCATTGAATGAAATGTTATAAGTTACAGTGAGGGTGTTGAGGCCAAGCAGGTACAACCTGAAAATGTGCTTCTGTTTTTGGCATGGTATCTTTCTGGAAAGCTAATTTTTGATTTGCTTGATGGAGAATAGAGTGCAGAAACAGATCGTTTCACACCTCCATGTAACCTGCATGGGACTTCGAAATTTGGCAGCACCCTCTAATGTTCATTGCTGTTTGAAGTTTTGGCCCAGTGAAAGGAATAAAGTTAACTGCAGTCACCAATTTTATCCCAAGGTTGTGAAGTATTTGTACTTTTAAAAAAAAAAGGAATATTTTTCTAGCCCTGCTTGTGTTATAATATCGCACTTTTTGGCAGGAAAACCCCAAATTACAATTGTTTCTGAAAAAGTTGAGATAATATTTGAGTGGATAATGGCCAACACACACAGGGCATCGTTTCACTCAGGACTTGAGCGCTGGTGTTAGGAATGTGTAGTAAAAACATGCAGAGTATGTGATTATGATATCAACCAGGGTGTCATGCTGATTTGACTCTTGAACTGCTATCTTTAACCTCCACTTCAGTTGACATACACGCCTTAGCCTTGCACAGAATCCCTACAGTGCGAAAAGACACCGTTCTGCCCGTTGTGTCTGCATCAGCCCTCTGAAGAGCATCCCATCCAGACCCAACCCAACCCTATCCCTGGAAGCCTGCATTTCTCATGGTTAATCCACCTAACTTGCATCTCCCTATACACCCAGGGGTAATTTAGCATGGCCAACCCACCTAACCTGCGCATCTTTGGACCATAGGAGGAAACCCACACGGACACAGGGAAAATGTACAAACTCTACACAGACAGTCACCCAAGGGTGGAATTGAACCTGGGTCCCTAGGGCTGTGAGGCAGCAGTGCTAACCACTGAACCACCAATGCCACCTGCATACATGAGCATTCATCCAGCAACAGGAAGTATCCACCATCAGTGCTATTTAAGTGGATGACCAGAATAACTTTGAGGTTTATCACTGGTTTCTGCTGGTTGTTGCTGGGTTCATTAAAGTATGTGAGGTCTGTGTCACTACTTAAAAGTCAGCAAAGTAAATGGAATGGAGAATTGTATGTAAGTGGTGAAGGTCTTGGTTCGCGTTCTAAATGACCACAAGCTTTCTGGCAGACTTCCCAGTGCTTCAAGCATTTCTTTGTATGTTCCACTTCCGTATGATACCTGTTTAAAGACATCAGGAGTCCTCTGCATAGAACCGACGTGCAATCTCTCCCTCGGGTGAGTTGGTGTATTTTTTGCTCTTTTCCCCCTGCCCTGGCTACAGACCTGTCATGCCCAAAGTCTCACCACTGGAATGTTCCACTCAGTGCTAGCCTCTAAAGAACATAGTGTGAGTTTCTGAGCTGCTGGCTGCAAGTTCAAGTCAAATGTTTCACCATCGCCTGTCTCCTCTTCCTTATGAGTTGAATTGTTGAAAGGATCATAGAACTTTGGGTTTAAGTGAGTTAAGTAACATAAACATAGGTCTCTTAGTCTTTTACCAAACTTGTTTGACTAAACCTTCATACTCAATTGATCAGGCAGCCAACTCGAATAACCAACATTCTCCAATTGGACTTGTTCAAGGGACTGTCAACATGACCAGACTTAGCTCAGTGCCAAAAGAACATTTCTTCTTGGTCTTTTCATTTCTACTTGAGTTTTTTTTTAACAAAAGTCCTCAATGAGATCTGCTCTGTGTGTACTGATTCTTTTATTACACATTTTGCAAAAGGGTTAAGTCACACTTAGAAATGAGAGAATTCCCCTCTTCTTGCAGCTTTTCAAACTGGTGCTTAATGAATTCAGACATAAATTTTAAGATTCAAACAAATAAAATTAATCTGGATCTTTCCTCATTTCGTGGAATCGCTGGAGGTGGGGGTGATTATGTGGGGGTCATGTCCACAAACTTAAACAGATATTTAGATTGAACACGAATCACAGGTTATACTCGTTATTGAGCAAAACTGTCACAATTGGGAAATACAAGGAAGGACTTCAAAATGGTAAAAATCTGAAGTGAAAACAGCAAATGCTGAAAATGGATACTGAGTAAGCACCATCTGCAAATACTAAACGAGTGTTGAATAAATAAATAGTATTTTAGTCACTTTGGGGGATAAAAAGAGAGTTTAAGGGTGGAACTCAGCAAACATGCTGCGGGCGGGATGGCAGTCAGGGGATCAATGTGCAGTTCATAGAATGGTTCCAACATAGGATGCCATTCAGCCCATTGTGTCTGTGCTGGTTATCAGCAAAAATAACTTTCACCACCCCCACCATTCTCCCCATAGACCTGTAAATTTTATTTCTTTCCCCCCAGATCATTATCCAGTTCTCTTTTCAAGACATTAATTGCACCAGCTCTCAGGCAGTGCATTCTCGATCCAACCCACTCACTACAGAAAGAAAAAGTCTTCCTTGTGACGCCATTGCTGCTTTTGCTAATCACTTTCAACCACATCTTTATCATTCTGCCAATTGGAACATTTTCTTCCTATCTGTTCTGTCCAGACATTTCATGATTTTAAACATCTTTGCAAAGTCTCCTCTTAGTCATCTTGTCGTCAAGGAGAATAGCTCCACTTTCTCAAATCCATCCACATGGCTGACGTTCCTCATGTCTGGAAACATTCCCTTGATTTTTTCAATCGACTATCTCTAATCTCTTTATACCTTTCCAAAATGCAGTGCTAAGAACTGGGCAAAAACTATAGCCAAGACTGAACTGCTGTTTTATAGAAGTTCATCTTAATTTCCTTTCTCCCTGTTAATAAAGCTTAGGGTGTCACTTGTTTTATTGATCACTTTCTTATCCTGCCCTGCCACATTTAATGATCTATGCCCCCATCTCTCAAGGTCCCTCTGCTTCTGCATCCCATTTAGAATTTTGTCCTGTAGTTTATATTGCCTCTCCTCATCACTTTGCACTTCTCTAAATTAACTTTCATCTGCCACTTGTCTGCCCATTCCACAGGGTTGTCTGTATCCTTGTGAAGTTTATCACTATCCTCTTCACGATTCATGAAATTTCCAGTATTGTGTTGCCCACAGATTTTGAAATTGTGCCCTCTGTGTCCAAGACTAGCTCGTTAATATATAATCAGGAAAAACAATTGCTGAAGAACCCTGATATCTTCCTAGAAGCTAAAGTACAACCATTCATTGCCCTACTCTGTGTTTCTGTCTCTTAGCTAATTTCTTTTTTATGTAGTAACAGTCCGTTTTATTTCATGGGCTGTAACTTTGTTGACAAGTCTGTTATGATGCAGACTGTAACCACATTCTTAACAATGACAATATCTGTTCTGATAAAGGTCCCAAGTTGTCTTTTCACTCTACAGGTGCTGCCTTACCTGTTGGGTGTTTTCCACCATTTTCTGTGAATTGTTTTCCCTGTATGAGGAGCTTTTAGCTCTCCTGCGATGACACAGCATAGAAGTTCTGAACTTCCCTTAATTAAAAAGTGCAGTTTTGTTGTTCTTTGATAAAGTTGCATACAGCTCTGTTTTGTTACTGGGCTATCAAATGAAAATTGAAAGTATTCTTGTTTTTCTTGGAGTAGTTTCAGCCATATAGTCACCATTTTGGTGACAGGTGTATTAAGCTTCTCGCTGCCAGTTAGTGAGGCAAAATTGTGCTGTTGGAGTTGGATCATTTTCATCCCTTTAATTGATATTGTGAATTCTTGTTTTTCAGGAAGCTAAAAGTGTTCAGCACCCCAACAACGCACCGGAAAACTGCCTCTCGAGCTGGCAAAATGTTCAACATTTCTCATAAATCGCTCCCACCCAAGAACCCCCAGCCTGAACGGTTGGATGAGGTTTATGAAGCTTTAAAAAAGGGCCTAAAGTAAGAAGTTTTTGTTTTGTGTGAATGATTTTGAAAGAATGGGACTAGCCCAAGAATTGAACCATTTCCTTACAGTGCATTTATAAAAATGAAACTACTTTGATTTGTAAGTAGATCCAGTCCTGAGTGATGAGGATGTATTTTGTGATACAACAGGTAGTTGTCTGTAGTTTGTGATCTTTAGGGTTTGGCTTTTCTATGGAGTGTGGTTTGTGTTGAATCCAACAGATGTGGCCAGTAACAAATAAAGATGTGAGGACTAGATATTGAAAACTGTTAACTCCCGAGTTCATGTAGTTTCTCTACCACCAGTAGAAAGAACAACAGTAATTTCGGCTTACAATTATTAACTACATTGCTGTACCACGTCAATGAATCCCAACACCCATCCTGGTTCTGTAACTTGTTGACAAGTTGTAAACAACAAGAACTACAAATACAGTTCACTTGGACTGCAAGTGAAGGTCAATTTTTTTTTTTTTTAAAGACCTGAATTGCAATATGTTTAAACTTGAGAACTTTTTGGTTATCAATTGTCAGACCGTCCCACTCCCCTTTGTCCAAGAGCAGTGCCTTTATGAACATTCACCTATTGCTTAACTTGCTGGATCAGTTTTGACAAAGATTTGAATTATGGTTGTTGCATGAAAGCGACCCTACAAATAGTTTTGCTGTACTCTGTTTCTGGAGAAAGCCTGTTAATGACCTATGGTTAAAGATATTCATACTTGTATAATGAATAGTTACAAAAATCCAAAATGTTTACTTCTGAATGTGTTAAACTTTGTGATTTATCCAGTCAGTATTTACTAAAGCAATCCTACTCCTTCAACTGGAAATTCGAGTGTCCAAACAGAATGGTAGCTATTGTGAAAAACAATATTGGATGCAATGGCTGAAGAGGAAACTCATCTACCCTACAACATTAGAACTAATCAATTTTATATGTAAAAAACACAGGTTGAATTTTTCAAACCTGTTTTGTTCTGTTTCTGCTCAGTATAATATGGTTGTGATTGGAATTTATTATGGTGAAATCAAAGTTGTAGGTGACTAAAGAACAATTTGCCAAAGGTGTTTTATTTGTATTTTTTTGCTTTAACAACTTTATAACAGTTGCATTCCTGTATGTTTAGGTAATACACACAAAGTATTCCTTGGATGTTTATTAGAAAGATTTTAGATGAGTGTACAATTCTTGTTCCACCTTAGGCTCAATTTAGTACCTGCTTTCCAGTTAAATCATAGTTATGGTGAAAGAAAAACAAAGTTGCTGGAAAAGCTCAGCAAGTCTGGTAGCAGCTGTGAAGGGAAAAAAGAGAGTTAATGTTTCGGGTCCAGCGACCCTTCCTCGGAACTGGACCTGAAACATTAACTCTGTTTTTCACCTTCACAGATGCTGCCAGACCTGCTGAGCTTTTCCAGCAAGTTTGTTTTTGTTCCTGATTTACAGTATCTGCAGTTCTTTTCGTTTTGATTAGAGTTGTGGTGGACTTTGGGCAGTGATCTTTTTGGGGAAAAAAAACAAGAAAACCCTACTCTGGGGGAGATGAAAAATCAATAGTTAATATGAATTCTTCTGGATATGGTCTTATTTTAATTACAGATCAATGCCAATTCTAACACAACATGTGTTCATTCGGAAAAAGATAGGAGAGACTAGTTTGAAAGTAATGTTGTTCATTTTATATTTTGTGATCTAACCCAGCATGACTGTGTTCTGCTCTGTTTGATGCAGCGTTGAATTTGTTGGTAGGACTTGAGTTCATTTTTCATTGATTACAACAAGTAAACAATTTATGTAAGAATGACGTCCTGAGCTTTGTCATTCACTGAACTGGCAGAGACAGGATGGAAATTGGCACGATGATCAAACTGGGCACTTTTGTAATGAAAAGAGACATCTGGGACTTGTAGTCTAAATTGCACTCTGTTCTTGGCGAAAACAGATATAAACCTGTGGAATGCTTTGGAAGTAAGGGGATTCATTGCACAGTATAACCAAGTTCAAAAACCTTGGGTGAGGAGGCATGGAAATTGCAACTTGCACAGCTACCTAAACCTTCGTCTTGCAACCCTCGTAAGATTTCATCATTGTAGAGACACAGACACAAAGCACAACTGACTACTAGTTCATTTCTTCCTTTTCACTCACCAGTTCCATCTTTGCTCCTGAGGTGACTTCCCATCATTGGGATAGGGGTTGATACACCAACATTGCAGATTTCCCCATCAGTCACAACGCATTTGATATGTGATATGCCTTTACGGACTGATTGATTTAAGTGCCAGATCATTTTAAATTGCATTTTCTGATATACATAATAGATTTACAGTCTTATTGTGTAAGGAATACAGTTAATTAGAAGGCAGGGGTTTATAATTGAGGTGTAAGACTAGTTCTTGTATTTCTTTTCTAACTGCAAAACTAAAGGCAGCGGGGAGAGCATTAAACAGGTCACGATGTTTTGGAGGTGGTGGGCGAATGGAAAGAAATGAGGTGTATTTTGAAATGCCAATCTAAACACATTAAGCTTCAGCATTTAGTGAAAGTGGCATATTTTGGGTGACAATGCAAATTAAATTTATGACTGAACATCAAATGTTGAGATTTAACAAGACACCTGGATGGTCCAAGGCAAATCAACAAGTAGTATTAATAAGTTCTAGCTGACCTGTAAGTTGAGATGGTTATTGTTCATTTACAACATGAGGGATCATTTCCAAACATGGACTATTTCTTATTTGTTACGATAATAATCAAACTCCATCTGCTGCATTAGTTCTGATGGATTGTTTACCCTATCATTACAGTGCATACTTGCAAGTTCATCAGCTGGAGCTCGACAACTTAACAGCTCAACTCAAAGATATGAAAAGAAATTCCAGATTGGTATGTAATGCTGCTTAAGTAACACCTGAAGTTGTGCAAAGGTTGTTAGTTTTAATATACAGTAATATAAGACCCCGTAGCATTCAGTTAAAGGCATAGTTGAATCTTTGTTCATGTCCCAGTGCAGAAAGTCTGACCGTTCCATTGTATTGTCTGATTTCAATAATAGACCATGAGATATAAGAGCAAAAGTGGGCCATGCAGCCTGTTGAGTCCACTCTGCCGTTCAATGAGATCATGGCTGATCTGATAATTCTCAATTCCACTTTCCTGCCTTTTTTCCATAACCCTTGATTCCCTTGCTGGTTAAAAATAAAGCTATTCTCATCCGTGAATACATTTAATGACCCAACCTTGACAGCCTTGTGCTTCATCATCACCACCTGAGAGAAAATTCTCCCCCGTCCCCTGTCCCCCTTCCCCCTTCCCAGAGCAAAATGTGTTGGCTCGGGCTTGGAGGGCCTAAGGGCTTGTTCCTATGCTGTATTGTTCTGTTCTTTGTTCTTCTTTGTTTCTTGTCTTGAATGGGCAGCTCCCTTCTCTGAGATTATTCCATCTGGTCCTAGACTGTCCCGCAAGGTGAAACAAACTCTGCATCTACCCTGTCAATCCAACTTAGAATCTAATGTTTCAATAAGGTCAGTGAATATAAGCCGAAACTACTCTGCCTTTCCTCAATGAAAATCTCTCCACACCCAGGATCAATGTAGTGTGGACTGCCTCCAATCCCGTAACCACGTTACTATATCTAACACCATGGTCTGTTATCATATTAAGCAGCCTTATGTGTAGACCCTTCTTGAATGCCTTTTGCAAATCCAATATATCTTTCCTTCGATAAGGGAATAAAACTGTTGAGTAGTTAAGTGTGGTCTAACTCGTGTTCTGTAGAGATTTTGCAAGATTGTCCCATTGTATTACTCCATTACATTCAAAATAAAGGCCAACATTTCATTTGCGTTCTTTAATACCTACTGGACTTGGCCACCTTTTCTATGTGATTCATGCGCTAGTGCCCCCAAATCTCTCTTTGCTGCAGCTTTCTGCAATCTTTCCTCCGTTAAAAAGTATTCAGCTCTTCGCTTACTGCCAAAATGTGTAACCTCACATTTTCCACATTATATTCCTTCTGTCCAGTTGTTGGCCACTCACTTAATCTATATGTATCCCTCAGTAGACTTCTTGTGTCACGTTCACTGCTTGCCTTCCCACCTTCTTTTGTGTTACCTGCAAATATGGCGATAGTATATTAACTTCCATGGTGGCATGGTGGCTCAGTGATTAGCACTGCTGCCTCATAGCACCAGGCACCCAGGTTTAATTCCACCCTTTGGCGACTATCTGTGCGGACTTTGTGTGTTCTCCCTGCGTCTGTGTGGGTTTCCTCCAGGCGTTCCAGTTTCCTCCTACAGTCCAAAGATGTGCAGCTTAGGTGGATTAGCCATGGTAAATACAGGGGTACAGGGATAGGTAGTGGGATGCTCTTTGACGGGTCAATGTGCACTTGATGGGCTGAATGGCCTGTTTCCACACTAGGGATTCTATGAAAATCCAAGTGATTAATATACTTTGTAAATAATTTGATACTTTCCTTAACTTCCCTGATTAACCTAGTAGGTTTTTACCCTTGCTAGAATCCTTGTTCATCACCGTGATATATCGTTGTTGTGAGTCATGAGCTATTTTTTAAAATGTCAGCCATTATTCATCAAACGTCTTTTCTGCTAAACTCCCAGTCCACTGCAGCCAACTCTGTCTTTATTCCCATGAAGGACAGTTTTTTCTCACTCCAGTTTTTCGCTCCGAACATGAATGCTAAATGCTACCATGTTATGGTCACTGTTCCTAGGGCATCTTTTATTCTGAAATTATATGTTAAACATGCCTAATTACGCTTCACCAGATCAAAAATAGCCCAATTCGCCATTTGGATCCTCGACACGTTGGTGGAGGAGTCTGTCCCAAATGCAGTCTATAAATTCTTTCTCATGGCTACATCTGTTCTGATCTATATGAAGTTATCCATGATTAATGTACTGTCTTTTTTACATGTCCTTTTAATTTGGAAGAAAACAAGGTTTTTATATATTTATTGCAGTTGTCAATCTTTTCTAAATTGCACTGGTGTTGATAAACTTTGGTTCACAAAGGACTTAATCATTTCAATGTCGTTTCTTAGCTTTCTGTTGTTTCTCTGTTAATTTGAAGCTTGGAATACAATGGAATGTGCAGAGACTAGCAGCACAAGTGGATTAGTTCTTCGCTTTGCTTTCAGTCCCAGTTGCACCTGTCTCATAAATTAATTTTTCATATTTTGCGAGACAGAAACATTTGTAGTACATGGTTAATTGACACCAATTCCATTTTGATTTTTGGGAGCAGGTAAGTAATTTATAGACTTTAAAATTTTGCCTGAGATTTTCATATTCAAATTAATAGCGAAATAGAATTGAGACTTTATTTTTAGAGTCATAGAGATATACAGCATAGAAACAGCCCCTTTTGTCCAACTCATCCATGCTGACCAGATATCTTGAATAAATCTAGTCCCATTTTGCCAGCATTTGGCCCAAATCCCTCTAAACCATTCCTATTCATGTACCCATCCAGATGCCTTTTAAATGTTGTAATTGTACCAGCCTCCACCACCTCCTCTGGCAGCTAGATCCATACACCCACCACCCTCTACATGGAAAAAGTTGCCCCTTTGGTCCCTTTTAACTCTTTCCCCTCTCACCTTAAACCCATGTCCTCTAGGTTTGAACTCCTCCACCCCATGGAAAAGATCTTGTCTATTTATCCTATGCATGCCCCTCATGATTTTATAAACCTCTATAAGTTGAAACAATGATTTCTGTTTTCCTTGCATTTTGAATGCCAACAATTTCCACTTTCGTACATTGCATTCAGTTATAAAAAGTGTCCATTATAATTCTTGTTTCTTTTTGCTTTCAGGGATTTCTATATGATCTTGATAAGGTAAGAATTTTCAGTATTGTTTGCTTTCTAACTCGTGCTGACATGATGAATTGAATAATAACCTTGATTTGACAAAGGTCAACATGGAAGCTTGTAAAGTATGTTTATGTGTTCAAAAGAAATGTTCAAATAATGACAGATTCAGTTTTGTGATTCTTAAATTCTGTTTCTTTTTCTCTCCACCTCTTGCTCCAGACACCAGGCTGCACATTGTTAATTTTCTCTCCTGTCCAAGACCACCCACCCTGTTTCTGAGTAGATGTTCTATAGCATTCAAATTCTCTATTTAAATAAGGGGGGGGAGTCTGAGTAAAAGCTATTGTGAATTCAATGAAGGACACTATCTCATTTTAACTGTTGATAAACAACTTTACTCCTGTTTGCTTGCCTGTACTGCTCTCTAACTGGGCTGTGCTAAATGCCTAACAAGTGCCTTGTTTCTCACACTTCTCTAAAACAGGCTTTCTGTGAGAACATTCTCATTTTTCCCATGCAGCATAAATCTGAAACTTGTTTCCAGAATTGTGTGCAAATCTTCAGCACGCTATGAAAAGTTTTGTATTTCATGATTTGGATGTATCCCTGACTCTGAGCACTTAATGAATTATATGTACTCTTGTACTGGAAAATATGAATAAAAATGTAGATTGATTTAAGTATAAAGGCATCTCCAGTTTGTTTAATGTGCTTCCAATAAAAAGACTTGCCAAGTCTGTTTTAACATTTTCTCTTTTTCTCTCTCTCCTTTTTGCCTCCTTCTCCTGACAGCAAATCAAGTCAATTGAAAGGTTTATCCGCAGACTGGAGTTTCATGTTAGTAAGGTAAGAAACTACAAACTGGTCAGTTCCTGGTCCACACTTGGGGTCTCACTGGGGAGGTGATAGCCTAGTGGTATTATCGCTGGACTATTAATCCAGAGACCCAGGGGACCAGGGTTCGAATCCTGCCGTGTCAAATGGTGGAATTTGAATTCAATAAATATCTGGAATTAATCGTCTGAGGATGACTCTGAATCCATTGTCGATTGTTGTAAAAACCCATCTGGTTCACTAATGTCCTTCAGGGAAGGAAACTGCCATCCTTACCTGGTCTGGCCTTCATGTGACTCCAGACTTCAGACCCATAGCAATGTGGTTGACATTTATTGCCCTCTGGGCATTTAGGGATGGGCAATAAATGCCTGCCTAGCCAATGACACCCCCCCCACTCATCCCGTGAATGAATAAAAAATAAACCTCACTTTGGGTTCACCCTGGCATACCTTCCACAACAGTGATAACTTCTGTATTTTCTTCATAATGTGTTTTGCAACAAATGAAATAAATACTTGAATGCTTTCCTTGTAAGTAAAGAATTACCATTGTAGCATGCTTTTGGCTGGAAATTTTAAATTATTTAATAGGTTTTCCTGTGACTTTGGGACATGTCAGATAGACCATCCTGTGTTTTCATCAGCCCAGATGTTGGCAATTGAGAAAGCGTCTAGTATATTTATTGGACGCAAGTTGTCTTGTCTTACAATGTACATGTTTTGACTTGTTTTTAAGTATTTAATCAATGAAAACTATTGATGACAACAGGCTGTACGTCAAAAAATCTGATGCAGATACAGGCATGCTTTGAGCTCACTGCAGGTCACCTTCTCAATGAGCCATATGTTTTGTAGCTCTTTAGCCTGAAGTAATAGATGATGTTTTGTGGACATGACTGTTGGGCTTAATTTTAACGTATAATCATCTGTTTGAGGGCTCCATTTAAAACACAATTGCTTCTTCGTCCCGCTGTTTGTTGTCTGTTGTAGATCATTTCTCATCAACCTGTTCAGCGATATTATTACATACCTCTGGTGCTGGTGGGGCTTGAACTTGGGTCTCCTATCGGCCTGGGTCTCCCCACAAGAGCCCCTCCTGCCTGTCATATGCTGGTAGATATTAGTTCCATGTCTATGATAAAGCAATGTGTCTCTTGTTAAACAATTGGACTATTGCTAAAGGAGCAATTTAAATATGTTGTATTATACTGCCTGACAAATATAACTAAAAGTGGATCATCCATTGTATGGGCAGTATCATATCGACACTGATCAAATCAAGAGGTGGTTTTCTCTGTGCTGCAACAGATTGAAAAAGTGGCTAATATCGGCTATGGTTTAAATAAACAGGAGTTTGTGTTGAGTGTCTGCCATTTAATGGAATATATTGTGGATGCTACTGAGTCATCTACTGGTACATCCCCAAAATAGAAATTTCTATCGAGCTACAGCAATTTGCTTTTAATAGTAATGTATGAACATTTTTGTACAGACCTCTCTGGGTAGGATTTATAATTCTGAAAATATTTCATTTGGCCTTGAGCTGGCTCCTTTACAGTTGAAATGTGAAATTTTGAAACTTCCTGCTGGGCATCAATGTGCAGGAGGCCTAGAGCGAAGCTTGAGCCTAGTAAAACCTTATTTGAGTTTCAAAAGGTTTTGAAATGAACAGATTCCGTTTTACAGGCACTTGCTGCCACTGCTGTGTTTGTCTAGATGGAATTATAATTCTAGGAGCTGATCTATTCAGTTAGGCATCGAAAGGCAACTATTCCATGGATCTTGTTTTTCTTTCACGGTTTATTTTGTGTCTTGTTTACCAGAGCTTGCTGGGCACCCGTGCTGTTTTTGATTTTAATTTTTTGGAATATTTTTCTGCCAGTACTTTGGTTGTAGCAGCCAACATTAACAAAACTATGAGCACCATATAAAATGCTGCCAATGAAGAAAATGCCTCGGAAGATTCTGGTGCATTGCCTGATTTAGATGGACAATAAATAACTATATGTGTGCGCGCGCACACACATTATATTGTATTATATTATATATATATAAAAATCCTAGGTGGGTGCTTTAAAGGTGACTGTCTTTGCTGCTCTACATTGCAAAATGGACAGTGTGCACCTGCTGTGGATGAGCCTCTAGAGAATATCATTTACAGGTTCTCCTCACCTTCCCATAGAAGTGAGGGTCACCAAGTTTTCATAACTGTCATTTGGAGAGCAAGTCATTTGTACCATCAGAAGTGCTCCCTCTTGAATGGGTGCAAATGGTAGCCACTTTGAATGAGGATGATGTTTGCTCATGGCAAGAGCCTGTACCTTCCTTTTTTTAATCATAGGGACGCTGTTGTGCTGCAGCTACTACACAGTTTTAGTTGATCAGCAAACTCTCCTATCCTGACTGCTGTTGGCAGAGCAGGAGTATTGACAGATTAATGATCAGCCTGTTTGGCTACGTTCTGATGCACCTTCCATGGCCAATCCATCCTTTGGGACTTCAATGCCAGATGGGGAGAGATTACTTTTTCCCAAGATGAAAACTTTATAAAAACACAAGTCAAAACATCTACATTTGTGAAAATTCAAGACAACTTGGGTCCAATAAAGGTTTTGAATGCCTTTCCAATAGCAAACTTCTGGGACGACGTGTAAACATTTGAAAGGATTGAGGAATATCTTAAGCACCACCCACTGTAATGACATCACATGGATGTGAGGGAGAAAATAGCTAAAGAACCCAGGTTTCTGGTACTGTGACTGACTCCACTAATGAGGGGTATGTCAGGTTCCAAGCTATCGATTGTAATCGGGGACTGTGTAGTCTGGGGCACAGACAGATGTTTCTGCGGCAGTCAGTGAGACATCAGGATGGTGCTTTGCTTCCTAGTTCCAGGGTCAAGGATGTCTCGGAGAGGGTGCAGAATATTCTGAAAGGGGAGAGTGACCACCAGGAGGTTGTTGTGCACGTTGGTACTAATGACATAGGAAGGGAAAGGGATGAGGTTCTGCAGAGAGAATATAAGAACTGCAGTGAGATGGATTCATTTGGTAAAGGTATCAAGAATGGGGAACTGTCATTTAAGGAATAGACCCTGGGATTCATTCCAGTTAGGGAAACTGGATTTGATATTAAGTCTGTGATTAGTGGAATTCATCTAAAGAAATTGTGACAGAGGCGGGAATTGTTTAATCATTCATGGGATGTGGATGTTCTACGTTAGGCACTCAATTATTGCCCATTCTTAATTGCCCTGGCAAAGGTTGTAGTGAGTTCCCTTCTCGACCCTCTGCACTCCTAGGGATGCAGAGACACTTGATGTTATTAAGAAGGCGTTTGACCCAAAAATAGTGAATGCGCAATGATATATTCCAAGTCAGAAAGGTGTGTAGCTTGAAAGGAACTTGTAGGTATTGGTATTGTCCAGGCTTAAAAATTGCAGGAGCTAAGTTAATCGCTGCAGAATTCCCAGCATCTTAGCTACTCTTGCAGCCACAGTATTTATATGACTAGTCCAGTTCAACTTCTGAACACACAGGATGTTGACAATGGGGGATTCAGGGATGGTAATAGTTGAATACATAAAATGCAAAGGGACAATGGTTAGATTCTCTCTTGCTGGTTGGAGATGGTCTTTGCCTGGCACTTTTGAGCTGTGAATATTCCTTGCCACTTGGATCTTTCATTATTTCTTTCTTTTCCTTTCTTTCTGTCTCACTCTCTCTCTATCTCACTCTCTGGGCTCCTGCTACCACGCGCTCTCTCTCTCATTTGCTCTCTCTCTCTCAACCCCCTCCTTCTCTTTCCACAGCTTACCATAGCGATCCATACTCCAGTGAGGCGTTCCAAGTCAGCAGCATAAAGTACACTGATTGCATCATCCCGCTGACTTTTACAGTGGCAACTGTTAGTGACTGTCGACTGCATGGTGGAATCCTTTTAAAACTAACTGGTTGCTGATTCCTTCTGAATAAACAGACTGACATTGGCTCGGATTATTTTGCTGGAGTCTGTGTTTGTGATAATCCAAATGAGTTAACCGTTTTCCTCATTCTCGATTCGTGAAAATTCTGTTAAACTTTCAATTCCTTAGGACCTAATTCTTTTCAGCTGGGACTTTGGAGCTACTCCAACTTTCATTCTCAGATGGGCTGAAATAGTTCAGTTATGGTGGCAGCTTCTAGAATGAATAGGCAGGGAGACTGAAGCATGGCAAACAAAAGTGAACCTGACACTCAAACCACTGGATAGGCCCAGATTTTACAGCTTACATCTGGAATTCTAAACTGTTCCAGATTGAGCACCCAGTTTTAATATGCTAATTATGGTCCCTCGTTATGGAGAACTTGGCAGTTGCAACGACTTGACATCTAGGGCAATGTTTGAGCTATGTCTTTGTCATACTCTGATCTGAATAGTGTTTTTCTTTGCTCTTTCTTTGACCTGATGAGCCCAGTAGGTTTACTTCCTGTGTGCAGTTTGATTTTGAGAACGACTTGGCACTTAACAATACAGTAATCCAGGCTTCAGCAACTTCCTTTCAAGGTGGAGCTAATGTAGTTTGTGTGTTTCCTCCACAAGCTTGGTGGCCATATTCATTTCCCCCACAATGACTTTAGCTCCGCACAGCACTTTCTTTATTTGTTCTTTGGATGTGAGCCTTGTTTATCCCGAAAAACGTAATGTTGAGCTGCTGCCTTGAACCACTGCAATCCTTCAAGTGTAGGGACACTCGTAGTGATGGTTAGGAAGAGAGTTCCAGGATCATAACCTTGTAACAGTGAGGAACACTGATATAGTTTCTGGTCAAGATAGGAAGTGGCTTGGAGGGTAACTTGCAGATGGTCATGATCCCATGCATTTGCTGTCCTTGATCTTCTAGGTGGTGGAAGTCATGATTTTGGAAGGCGCTGTTGAAGGAACCTGGACGAGTCTGTCTTTATACAAACATTTCATATAGAAGTCACAGTCTAGTGCCCAATATCAACTTTCTTTCTTCCTCCTTTCCTA